CATGTAATTCTAGCTCCTGCACGCCTGTTCCCACTGTCACTTCTTGGAGCTGGCCCTTCTCTCTTATTTGTGGAAAAATCCCCCTGTCTACATCTGGAATTGCTCAAAGGTCACTGTAAGTATTGAGTCTTTATGAATAGTTTGTTCCCCTTCAAAACGCTTTCCAAAATGCCTGCAGCCAGGGACTTGGAGCTCATTCTCAGAGCTACTCTGTCTCCACGGACTCACGGTTTTGCTCTGATTTGTTTTCTCAGTTGCAAAGAGAAATGTGTACTCCTGCTTTCTATTAGGTATGAAGAGTCTTCATGAGTTAAAACAAGTTCTTTGTTTGGAAAAAAAAGTATTTCTGTCTAGAATGTTTAAATATTCCAGATGGGAGCACATTGGGGGTTTTGTGTTCTGTAATTGTATGTGTAATAGCAGGTGAAGAACAAAATGTGTTAAGACATTTCTTTAGCTTTGTGATGTCCAATATTCTTTTAGCATATTGCTTTTCAGTTTAAAACTAAAATACGCACAAATTCTAGGAGTTTCAGCAAATGTAGAACATAAAAAGATAGTTTAAAACGTGCTTCCGTCCTGTTCTCAGTTTTGGTACTTTTTTATTTTATTTTTCTAATCTTTATTGTTGAAAGTATTACATATGTCCCCTTTTTCCCTCATTGACCTCTCCCAGCCCGCCCCCACCCCTCACCCAGGCTTTCACCACTGTATTGTCTCTGTTCATGGGTTATGTGGTACTTCTTGCCATATATATGTAATACTATATACTATACATACTAGTATATATAAACTACTCCCCATATATATTACATATATTATAATTTGCATAGTAATAAATCACATCAGTGGTATGCTTTTTGAAAATATATTTTTATTGATTTCAGAGAGGAAGGAAGAGGGAGAGAGAGAATCATGGATCAGCTGCCTCCTGCAAGTCCCCACTGGGGATCGAGCCCTCAACCCAGCCATGTCCCCTTGACTGGAATCGAACCTGGGACCTTTCAGTTCGCAGGCCAGTGCTCCATCCACTGAGCCAAACCGGCTAGGGCAGTGGTATGCTTTATTGTATCTTGTATCCGTTTTACTTTATATACTCCTATGCATAGTTGGCCATGTCATTTGCTTTTGCAACATTTTAGTCTGTGAAAAATACCATAATTTATTTTAGCATGCTTATGTTGGACACTTAGGAAGAGAGTTAAAGTGTTACACCTCTTCTAGAGGGTAATTTATTAATATAATGCAAAATGTTAAGCTTAGATACTCTTCAAAATAAAAAAAAATGCATTTCTATGAATTTACCTGGAGGGAAATAATAGAGCAAACTCAAATATATGTCTGAAATGTTCATGTTAGAGTATTTAAATGTGAAAATAATTTTGCAGCCTAAATATCCATCAGTATAATATTGCATAAATGACTTATGGTGCATATTCCCTGTGTAATATGTTGTGTTGTAAATGATGGAGCTCATTTTTACTTATGTACATTAAAATTGTTTATCTTATCTTAAGTATTTCAAATAGACAAAATAAAAGACCTGGTTTGGTAAACACACAAAAATCTGGGAGAATATACTTCATGAAACCAACTGTGGTTATTTTTAAGTACTGGCATCATGGATGACTATTTATTTATTCATTTTTTTCTTTGTAACATTTGACAGTGATCCATGGTTACCTTTATGACCATGGAAGAAAGAAAGATAATTTCAAAAATAATAAAATGAATTTATTAATACAGAGACTTTTTATAAATCGATGTCTCAGTTTATTTACAACAGTTGAGAACAAATTAGAAATGGATTTTTTAAAATATGTTTTTATTGTTTTCAGAGAAGAAGGGAGAGGAAGAGAGTGAGATAGAAATAGCAATGATGAGAGAGAATCATTGTTCCACTGCCTCCTGCGCATCCCCTACTGGGGATCAGGCCTGCAACCCTGGCAGGTGGCCTACCAGGAATTGAATCACGACCTCCTGGTTCATAGGTTGATGCTCAGCCACTGAGCCACACCAGCTGGCAGAAGTGAATTTTTATTTTCTAGTGGAATCTTCATTTTTCAGCATCTACAAAACATTTAATTATTCTACTTACAGTTCAGTGGTGCTAGGGAAATATTTTAATGCAAGAATCATTGGACTTATGGATAGATAAGAATATTAGAACTCTTCAGATAGGATGGGCAGTCCTTATGGTTAGAGTACATGCTTCTTGCTATTGCTTAATATGATTTCTTCAGAAAACTGCTCAATCTGCAGGATGAAGGAAGGTGATAAAGAGGACCTGAATAGGAGATATCATGGTGCCAATGTTAATAAATCCTAGAGCCAATAGAGAAGTTGTACAACTTTCCCCACTTTTTACTTTTTTTCTCTCTCCAGATAAATAGAGGGGCAAGGAAAGTGCATTTATATTATTAAATAAATCATTTTTCTGACCACCCAGAAGTATTGTTTTTTTCCTGATTCATCTATAAATAGCTATTGGGTTAATTAGAATTTTAAAATTTAAACCAAACAACACACATCCTTAGTAAGAATTACTAATTCTAATAATATGTATGTGTGTGTGTGTGTGTGTGTGTATGTATATGTATTTGACCTCCAGAAAGTTTGTGAAATTTATGTCAGTATGCTCTCCTTCCTTCTAACCATGCATCATGGTATTTGATTCATAATGTTGTAGGAAATAAATAGAATTTTTCTGTTTTCCTTAGCATTTGTTTGCCTACTAGTATGGTTGAACATTTTGGTGTTGCTTTGACCAGTTTATCTTAAAAATTTTGCTATAATTCTTTTTCCTTTTATCTACTAGGTCAGGGTTGGCAAATTATGGGCTGTAGGCCAATTCTGCCTGCTACTTATTTTTGTAAATAAAGTTTCATTGAAACACAACCAGGCCCATTCATTTATGTGTCATATTGTTTCTGTTGTTTCTGTTCAGAGGGGTGAGTAGTTGTGACAGAGATTGTGTGGCCATCAAAGCCTAAGATATTTACTCTCTATAGAAGGACTTTATTGATCTCTATGCATCTTTGAGAGGGCTAGCTTGAAAAAAAATTAATCAATTTATATGGGCTATTATGTAGTAAGTAAGGATTTTAACTCTTGTGTGAAACATTTCTTAGAAATACTTGAGTTCAAGTGTTTTGCCTGCCTGCTGAGGTCCTGATGGTTTAAATCTATAAGGGATTCTATTTCCTCCTTTTCTCAAATCCTGTGAGCCTGGGTGCGGCAATGATGGATGGTGTCCATTAAGAAGGGCTACCACCATCCTTTGTACCATGATTGGTGGATGAGCTAGTTTATTATCTGTGTCATCGCTTTCTCACCAAAATACTTACAACCTTTATTCTTGACCTAGATGTTAAGGAATATTTATTTCTGAGAATCATTTAGGATCTTTCTAATTGTACTGAACCTTGATGTCTTAGCTGTAATAAAGTTTAGAAGCTATAAGGCAATACTTTATTAAAGTCATTTAATACCCTATGTTTTATAACACTTTTAAGTATTTCCTGAAGGTTTTTCAATATGTTTTTCATTTTTCATTTTCCCTTTTTACTAATTTCTTTCCCTCCATTTTCTAGCCCCACTTCTATTTTTTGCTAGTGACTTCGCTTTTGTTCAATAACGTTTTTCATGTGGTATCATTAGTTCTGAGGGAATCTTTTTTTTTAAATTAAGAGCCAATTAGAATGCTATATAGCTATCTTTTGTATCTTATTAGTCACTAGTATTTTCATAATTGAAGAAATGAATGAAACTCCTGCTTCCCAATCACACTTATCATATGACCCAATACTTGGTTTGGCAAATGGTTCTCCATCATGGTGATCAAAAATTGTTACTGTGGCATATTTATATTTCCATGTTTATCTGAATATTAACAGTACAGGGAGATAGAAATGACTAGTCCCCACAATATTCAGCTTTCTTCTCCTTCCTAGGCGCGCTCAAATATTTCCCGTCTCCCTTGTCATTAAGGCCATGCATTTGACTGTGGGCTACAGCTGTGAGAAGTGCATGTGTCACTTAATGTCTGAGACATCTAAGTATGTTTATAAGTTCCACTCGACCTGGCAACCCTGGAAGCCACAGGTTGAGATAACAGGGTTAAAGGCAGTAGAGCCACCAATCGCCTGGTTCCCTACATGATTATATAGAGGTGAGTTCTCTTGTAACTTGTACATTTTGTGGGAACTAGAAATGAACCTGTTATGCTAAGCCACTTAGATTCTGTAGTTGATTTGTTACATAATCTCTTCTCACTAACACAGAAATTAGATTTATAAATGGGGCTCTACTATAATAAAAGACTTGATATGTATAAGAAAAAATGATCCTGGAGGAGACAAAGAAGAAAACGTATTAATGTAGTAGTAAAACATTTGGTGAAACTGTTGCATGTCAGAATGTGGGAGGCAGACCATAGGTCCAGGTAACTGTTAGCTCCTTGCTAAGAGGTAGAACAGAGAACCATAGTTGTGTATGTTAACTGCTGTTGGCTAGGCTTGGCAAGGTATTACAAAAATAAAGATGACTTCAGGCAAGAATTGGCTGGTTCAAGGCAGAAATGAGAAGAAATAAAGGGGATCTAGCAATGTGGGTTCCTACAGAAAAACAAGTTGTCTCTAGCCCCAAACTGTACACAAAAGAATTTTACAAAAATTTTAAGTTACAAACATTCAACACAACCTTTCAATAGATTACAGCACTTAAGGCAGAGAGAGTTTTAAAAGTGAAGTCCTCCCACCTGTTGTTACAGATGAGCTTCAGGGAGCCACCCTCAAATTGAGAGAAAAAGGCAGGGGGTTGAGAAAACAAAGAGCTCCTGGAGGCTTGAAAACTAGGTAGTTAACAGTGTGGGTGTGGTTACTGGCACGTGGAACTGACTGGAAACAAACAGAGAAGAAGCCTCTTAAGTACTTGAGAGAAATGTTCTGCCAAAGCAACCACAAGCCCGGACTAAAGGGGCCTTTGACTGTATGAAACTGAAAATGGCCTTTGTATACACAGCCTGATGTGAGCAAGAAGTAGGCCGAGCAGACTCATTTTCAGATGCAGACAAAGAAGGGACCGGGAGAAAAAGAACCCATCTTAGGATGGAGACTGAAGACGGAAGCCACACACAGGTAAGGGGCCTTCACTGCATGTGCTCAGCGGGACTTCAGAATTTGCATGGGCTGCTGGTTAGGTTACATTTGTCTCCTTTTCTAAAAGTGAGTGTATTATTGTAATCTTTGTGTATCGTGTGTGTGTGGGGGGGGGGGGGGAGGGCAGGTAATTTGGCTTTTAAATTCACTGGTCCCCAGACCAAGAGAAGTCGTATTTGGGCTTGATAGGGAGGTTGGTCGGTCTTGAACTTCACCTATGTATGCTGGACTCTGAGACCCAGGCACAGAGTGGATGGGCTTCAGGCTGTCTCCATGGGAGTTGCTGATTATGTGTGATTTATAGAAAAAAGAAGGTACTGAATATTTACTGAATAGAAGGTGATAGAGGTTACTAGTCTTCACCATGGCTGCTTCTTTTCCCTGCATACATTTTACAAAAGGTTTTCTATCTGTAAATCTCATCTGGGACTGTGTCCAGTAAATATTGGTGTGGACCACTTAAATAAGAAAGTAAAAACTGCTCAGAATAGACTGTTTAATATAGGTTCAAGTTGGAGAAAGCTAAAGTTCCTGATTAGCAAATTCTAATTCCCTAAAACTGTATTTTATGCTCCACCCCCACTACAATTGTTCCTAGATCATGAGAGGTAAATTATCTGATTCCAAATACCTGTTATTTAGAATTTTTAGTATTTTAATCCCCCCCCCAAATTGATTAATGCTGTATGTATGTATTTTCTTATTACAAGATATTGGTTTTTACCTATAATTATGTACAGGTGGAAAGCTATGTAGACCCTGATTTAATTAGGCTGGTCTCATTTTCTAAGTTAATTTACTTTTACCTAAAGACACCAGAGTAACTCGTTAAATATTTTATAAAAATCTGAACAAACAATAGTGTTTACAGTAGAAAAAGAAAGCATTCATTTATTAAAAAGGTTCAAAGGCTCATCAAGGTGATCACTTTGTAAGTTATATAAGTGTTTGACCACTATGTTGTACATGTGGAGCTAATATAATATTATATGTCAACCGTAATTGAAAAAAAAAATTAAAAGAGGTTCAGAGGACATAAACCTGCAGTTAACACCAACTCAAATTACGTGTAGGTTTAATGTGTATTGATGAGTCAAGAACCTCTGTCCAACACATGACTACACCAGAATATTTATTTTTCTGCTTACTTATTGGTGCAAACTTTAATGAAGAATGGAGTTTCACAGGAAAGGTAACTGAGAATGCTGAAAACGAATAATGTTCACTGAAAGAGAACTTGGGAAACTAAAACTTAGTTTTACAGGAACAAAGGAAAACAAATTCAACAGATAACACAGCTTTAATGTGCTTCTCAAGAAATATACACATGTATCATTTTTTTCTTCACATGAATGATCATTTCTATGTTGTATATAGTGCAGATGGTCACATTTCCATAAGTTTAAAATTAAAATTTGCCCACAACATTGCCGGAATAATGGACATTCCCCACTCTTTTCAGTTTAATTTGCTAATGTTGACTCTTATTTTCTTGTTTAAATTCAGCTCTTTTTTTTCCAGAGTAGTCTATCTTTCATCACACTCTCAAATACACTCAGATCTTCTACTCTACCTGCCCCACAATATAAGACACATGGAAATAAATTACCCACTAGAAAATCTACTTGATATGAGTACTGCATTTTATGTTTTCAAGCACTGGAAATGGGTCTGACTTTGAAGTCAATGAAGGACTCTATGGCACTTAGAGAAAATAAATCTTTATTTTTCTTTCATTGAGCTGCAGCTCTCTGGCCTTCAATCTCCCTGCAATAGTGAATTCGTTGATACTGCATTTGCAAGGTTGATGCTTCATTTTTAGGAAAATGATGTTTATGACAATTGGGTAATTTAGCTCTCTTCTGGCCAGAGAGGCTTTTTAAAGTGCACTTCACGTGGGAAGAAGAAAAGTGAGTAGCATTCATTTTTAGGAGTAGGTTTGTATTGCTGTTTTACAATCTGGGTTTACAAGTAGCTTTAAAAACCCCATATCCATGCTAAGAGCTATGAATGATTCTAGTAACAAATCTAAATTATTATTTTTTATTCCATGAATTCCATTAATTACAAATCCTTTGTATGTGTTTCCTAGTGAGGCAGAATGTTTCTTTCTTCTTTATGACATCCCACAAATTCTCAATGTAATAATATTGCATTAAGAATAACTATTGAGATGAATTAAATGAAGTTCTTTGCTATAGTAATAAATAAGGCTTAATAAACCATAGTGTTCCAGTCACTGAAAAAAATAAATACATTGGAATTTAGGACAAATATTCCACCAAAAAGATTTTATCCTAAATCTTGAAATTAAAACAACCAATAAGGATAATTAGTAAGCATATTAAAGAAACACTAACTTTAGGCAACTGGCAAAGAGTTAAGGATAAAGGAGTAGATGCCTGGAGTAGTAAATTTTCAAGGTATTGGTTTTAACCTTTCTTAGATTTATTACTCCTGCTTACTTGAGCATTTTTTAGGCAGATAATTTATCTGTATCTTTATGTGTTTGATGAGGAACATCTTTTTATTTTTACTTCAAAGAGAGAGAAAACTATTTATTGAAATAGTTTCACTTTGAAGGCTATTTTATCCATGTTCCAAAACCCAAATAGAGCCTGTTAACTAATTAATCTGAATATTGCAAGCATGAATACAAATTGAAACTCTCTCTCTCTGTCTCTCTCAAGCAAATTTTTCTGTTTAACTAAACAAAATAAACAAGAGCAATATGCTTATTTTTATTTAGGAACACTGTCAAAATTAAAGCAAGAGAACCAAACGCCAGCTGTGTCTTGGACAGTAAGCAATTTCTGGAAGAATTAATGGGGGAAATTATCTGGTTTAATAGATTAATTGGGAGGCTCAGAGTATGTCACTTATGAATTTTGATGAATTTATATCAGTAAGACATGCTAAAATTGAAGTTCTTTAAAAATGTTTTATTACCTCCAAACTCTACACCTGTGACTCACTTGACTTCCCTGCTATCTGTCCTTTCTGCCCTTAGATAGTGATATGAATTAATTGCTCATACTGCTAGACATATTAAAATGTATTTTAGCCTAGCCGGCATGGCTCAGTGGTTGAGCATCAACCTATGAACCACGTGGTCACGGTTCGATTCCCAGTCAGGGCACATGCCCGGATTGCAGGCTCGATCCAGCTGATCAATGATTCTCTCATCACTGATGTTTCTATCTCTCTCTACCTCTCCTTCTCTGAAATAAATACAAATGTATTTTTAAAAATGTATTTTAGATTTGCTTTAGGAGCTCAATTTTTAATGTCTTTTGATCCTCAAAACCAAGGGTAGGACTATGGTACATTTTTAAGAGAAAGTGGAGTTTTCATAAGAATAGCTAAATAATTAGTAAATAATAAATGGGAAGAAACATTAGAGATATTTCAATGACTTAGCTTAAGAAAGAGAAGTTTAGGTAGCCAAATGTCACCAAAGGGCACTGAAGACATTTAAGTTAAACATTGAAGGTATCTTTGTAATTATGAAATGCCTTATGAGCAAAAAGTAGTCTTTCTCTTTTGCGATAGGGATATTAGCAGAGGCAGTGATGGTATTCGGGCAATAATATCTATTGAGCACTTACTATGTACTAAGCATTGTGCTAAGCACTTTCCAATAATTCTTGTTTAATTCAGTCCTTGCTACAATTCTGTAGCTTGTTTTATCCTCATGTTACAGATGAAGAAACTGAACGTTAGAGAAATTCACTTGTCCCAGGTCCTGATGCTGCTAGAAGGATGTAGAGCTGAGACTAGAGCAGCCAAGTCAGTAAAAGTTATTTAAATTCTCTGGGTCTTAGATTTTCCCTGTAGAATGAAAATAATAAGACCCATCTCTGGATGTTTTTACTATAAACATCTCAGGATGTTTATAGCAAAAAAAATAAGGTAACACATGTAAAAAAATACCTAAGATGTGTTGAATATATTATTTATCCTCTTTAATCAGCTATGCACATATGGCTAAAACTCTGTGATTTATAACACTGCACTTACATTGCATGCATGTCCTGTTACTAAAGGATGAGCTCTGGGAGGAGTTGGCTGGATCCATGTGTTAGTCCTCAGTGTTTCCTTATCCTGCACCTAGTACACACCCCAGTTCATAGGAACTGTGCAATGAACGTTTATTGCCTCAGTGAAAAAAGAATGGGAGATAGAGTAAGGGAGCACCACCACCTACTGTTGGTTGGAAGGCAGTTGGACAACATGGTTCGGATTTTGAAATTTGCTTATTGCTTGGCTCAGCAAATTCTGTTCTCAAAATGTATCTAAGGAAGTAATGAGGTTTATGTACCAAGATGTATTTTCAACTGTCAGTATCAGAACATTGTCTTCAAAGGGGAAAAATTGGAAACATCCTAATTTAAAAATTAAAAATTGAAATTGTGCAACAAGCATACAGTGGAATAGTGTGTAGTCATGAAAAGTAATATACAGTACAGTTATTAGAGGTGAAAGAGTGCCATGATATATTTGTTGACAAGTGTAAAAAGCTGATTATGCAATTGTATGATCTTCTTTTTACTATATATATATATATATATATATATATATATATACACACATATATATATATAATTTGAATAATTATAAAGGCAGTGTTTATTAAAATAAAAATATAACAATGGTTATATCTTGGTAAAGGATCACAGGCTATCTTTATTTCCCCTTACTTCATTTCTATAAATTATTTTGTGAAAAGCATATTTTTTTATTTTTGAGAAAATAAATTATTTTAAGAAATTAATGATATCATCAATAACTAGATTTTGACACAGGACCTCAGCAGCCAATAATATTTCAGGTTTTTAAAATATTAAGCAAACCACTGTTTAACAGAGTCATTCAGTGTTATCGGATTATTAAAAACAATGCATCTTAGGCTAGTGTCCTTTTTTCTTTTGTAAATAAACATAGAAGACTTTAATTTTCTCAGTTCATTTATTTTCTAC